GAAGAAATTAATCACAATCTATTTTTTTCTGATGATTCCCACAATGGGAAAGATTTTTTTCCTCATATCTTACAAGTTCTACAGTGCCTTCCCCACTCCACCGCTACTTCAGTATTGTAATAATTAGCATCTCTTTATGTCCTCTTTCACACTAGAAAGACAATTCTTTTATTAATGACTCTGAAAATTTTATTTATTATTTGTCTTTGAAACTGAATTTGAAATCAAAAGACTTATAAGAGATTTTTTTCTTTCTTTTTAACATAAGACATCTTAAAAGTAATACAAGAGATGGTTATGGATATCATGGGTAGTTCTGAATTTTCTTTCTTTCAAATGAAAAAAAAGGGCTTGGAAAACAAATGTTGCATCCTCCATTCTCTTCAGATTAAATGTTTGGGATTTTGAAGAACATGTTTTTTGTTTTTTGGTTTTTGTTTGTTTGTTTGTTTGTTTTGCTATAGGGCGCGTGCGCTCGCCAGACAGACAGAGAGACAGAGAGACAGAAAGCGAGAAATCAGCCCCCGGGGGGGATGGCCACGCCTCAATCCCCTCTCCTCCATTCTCCTCTCCGGATCTTAGGCACACACACACACACACGCGCCTGGCGTAAGTTTTAAGCCACCGTATCCAGGACGCGAACCACAGTCACTACATGGGAGTCCAGCGACATAACCATTATGCTAACTGCTGGTCCCAAGAACATGTTCTTAAAAGGGTTATCTTTTCCTTACCTTTTCTTCTTGCTAGTACAATAGAATATTATCTATTGAAGATATTTTGTAGTTTTATCAACTGTACTAGGGAGAAATAATCACCTGTTGAAATATCCATTTTGTAAGTCAAATAACAAAGTGATTGATTGTATAAAAGAAAATGAAATAAAAAAAGAACAAACTAACAAAAAAAAGAAAGAAAAAGAAAATGGGTCAGAACAAAAAGCTTCCTGAATGTAGTATAAAGACAGGAGGAAGATATAATTCACATTTGTAGTAAGTACAATATGGGTTCCAAATTAGACTTAAATAGGGAGTTCACCCAGCCTCTCATTCGTAGTCAGTTCTGGAAATTACCTTTCATCTCCGAGGCTATGCAAGCCCCATTGATGTTTTTGGCTGACTGCTTCTTTCGTAACATTAGGCTCACCCAAGCATTCCAGATTGGATATGGGCAATTACAAGGGAGGGTATACATTACTGCAAATTTTAATCATTTCTTGAGCCATTTTGCTTGCAGTGATAATCCCATAAAACCGGCAGATCTTGCATAAGAAACTCAAATAGTTTTTGGCTGAGAGCAGCTCTTGAGTTACTTTGTAAACTACTCCTGCTTAATTTCTGGACTTCCCACTTTGTGGCTGGGACCTGCCAAAAAAGGACTCCAATGGTTTCTTGGCTCAGTGACTATGGCTATCTTATTCAAGATTGGCAAGCAGACAAAAATACCAATGATAAAAAGAATGATACAGATTTCTTCTCAATAATATTGTATTTATGCATAGACCACTTCTATCTAATACTTCCACTGTGAGCAAAGGAATGTTGGGCTCAAAGCTATTTCAAGAATTTTTCTCCTTTCATGCACTTTCTGCACCATTTCACTGGGGACAGCAGAGCAATAATCATATGATGATGTTGGAAACTGCTTTTTTGTAGCATCAGGGAAATTTGCCCAAATTGTTTTGTGAGCCAAACTAATATCCATAACTACACATTTTTGCCTACCCATTTAGAATGCCAGGATATTCCTCTAGTTGGAAATCTCTAAGTAGCTTTATTTTCATCAATAATATTTTTTCTTGTAAATGAAAAGACTAATAAGACTTTCCTTTGCAGCCAGTAATCTCCTTCTTTCAGTAAGCCTTATTTTTTTTCCTCTTATACATGATCATTATTCTCTTTTTCTAAAAAGCGCTAGAGGGCACTTTCAGAGAGAGAGAAAGAGAGGGAGAGAACACCCCCAGACAGGATGGGACATGGTCACCTGCAATTCCTTCTCTTTTATTTCTCCATCCTGTCAGGATTTGGGGCAAACATGCACATGCACCTGGCATCTTTTTTAATGCATCTTTTTTAAGTACGGGAGCTTGGATTTGAACCATGGTTGGCTGTGTGGGAACCATCTCCCTTAACCACTCTGCTACAGGGCCAGCTCAGATGATCTTTCTTTGTTTCTTAACCTGCTGAAGGGCACATGTGCTCACCAGAGAGAAATGGTGGGCATGCAAGATTAAGAAAGCATTCCCCACAGGGAATGGTCATGTTGCAATCCCTTCTTCATTCTCTTTTCAGAATTTTGGGCACACACATATGTGCATGTAGCTTATTTTTCAAGCTACCATGTCCCAAACTTAAACTTATGTGAGATAATGTCTTGTAACTGAAAGAAACTATATGATCTAGACATGGTTTTCCCTACTCATGAGTTCTTAGTCTCTTGTCCATCTTGTGCCATTATATTAGGAGGAATTTATGAAACAGAGATTCAATTTTAAGTCAGGATCATTATAATTATGGCAAACAGGCCAACAGGGAATGAACTGGTAGTTGCCAAAAAATTTTTGGACCAGCAGTTAGCATAATGGCTATGTCACTGGACTCCCATGTAGTCAACTGTGGTTCAAGTCCTGGACCCGGTGGCTTAAGCTTACGCTAGGCACATGTGCGTGTGTGCCCAAGATCCCAAGGGGAGAATGGAGGAGAAGGGATTGCAGCATGGCCATCCCTCCAGGGGTTGATATCTCGCTTTCTGTCTCTCTGTCTCTTCTATCTTTCTGGTAAGCGCACATGCCATATAGCAAAAACAACCTCTCCAACAACAACAACAAGAATTTTCTATGAGAATTTATATTGCACTGCCTTGAGCATTTTATTTCAGCGAACCAGAAAGATAAAGGTATTTTTAAAGGTTTACATCAGGTGAAGAGAAGTATAGGAAACTTTTATCACTATTACTTAAGAGTCAGTAAATTACGTAGCACAAGATACAGGTTAAGAGGTTAAGTTTGGGAATAAAACTGTATGGTTTGAACCCTAATTTCCTAAGTAATTAACTATAATACCTATCTGACCTTGAGAAATCATTTACATTTTTGAAATTTTAGTTTACTGATCTGTTAAAAAAAGAAAAGACATAACATTATCTTCTTCAGTGGGCGGTTAAGAGGATTAAATGAGCTGGTTCATTTAAAGTGCTTTGTTCGGTATATGACATATGCTTTAAGTTTTCAGTAAATGTTTTTGTTTGTTTGTTTGTTTCCACTGAAGTTAAAAAGACATAGAATTTGGTTGGAGAGAGCTATTTTTTTTCTCATTTGTTTTAGAGAATTCCCCTTCTCAGACCTTAGGAGAATTTCCACAAGTGCTATTTTGGAAGAAGAACTAAGAAAAAATATTTCATGGTATAAATAGCTTATAAGGAAATTTTATATGCTAAAATGTTTTAAACAAATCACTATGAATTTACTATGTGCTAATTTATTGAATAATACACTTATTCTACCTGATAATGCATTCAGGGAATTTTGGGAAGATGTGTGAACATTTAACCAATAAGTTAGATTCAAGAATAATTTGACAAAATATGTTCTTATTAATGCTGTTTAAAACATACATATCTGTGTAGGTCAAAACACTAAAAAAAATAACTTCACAGAATGAATTATGTCCAAATTAAATTATGAAATCATCATCTTGAATATGTCCAGAGAAAGTTAAAAACACCTACTCTGTCAGCCAATACTGTAAATTAACCAATTTCTAGTTTGGTTACTTATAAAACAACCTTATGCCATCATTCCATTCTTATTCCAACTCTAATCAATAGTTTGCTTTCCCCAAAAAAAAAAAAAAAAAAAAAAAAAAAAATTAAAACAAAGGCCAGCCAGCAGCATGATGGGTTAACTAAATGTCACAGGGCCAGCTGTCATGAGGACCTAGCAGTCCTGTACCCAGCAGCTTGAAAAACACGCCAGGCAAGGCATGTCTACATGCATGACCAAAATTCTGAGAGCAGAATAGCGGAAAAGGGATTACCCATAGCCTTCCCCCCCATGGGGTACTTTCTAACTTTCTCTCTCTCTCTCTGTTTCTCTTTCTCTCTCATGCTCTCTGTCCCTCTCTCTCTCTTTCTCTGGCATGCATGTGTACCCTATACCAAGTTTAAAAAAATCAAAATAAAATCTTCATTCTCTAATTCTACAAAGAAAGGAATTCAAATTCAACCATTACAAACACCCAATGTAGCAAAATAAGAATTCAAAAACTTTCTTCTCTTCTCTCCCATTCGAAGAAGTCAGTCATTGCAAAGCTAAAATACATCATTTTAAAGATTATTCTTTCTGTATTGACCTTGAGATTCTAAAACTTTACAATAGTTTATTACAATCGTGGGAAACCTTAATCATTAGAAAACTATTCTACAATACAGAAATGGGAGAGATCAAAATAATTACTTTTATAAAATTGAAAGAAACTTAGATAGAAAGTTTTGAGAAATACATTTAAAAAATTTTCGGAATTTATCCACATTACTATAGATCAGAAGAATAAAGAATTGGGATTGCCTACTCAGCATGTTTATTTACTACTTCTAAAAACTTTACATTTAGCCATTGTATATCTTTATAGCATATAAAATTATTTTTCCCATAGGGAGATGCAAATCAAAACCACAATGAGATACCACTTAACCCTGTCAGAGTGGCCTCCTCAGCATTTAACATGCATCCTCTGGGGATTTGCATTACTGTCAGTAGCTCATGGAGGAACAAATAGTGTTTGTTTATCAGATAACATGATAATTGATGTCTACAGAGGATGTTATTCTGAGTGAAATTAAAATGTGGCATGAAAAAAATGAATTAAGAAAAAAGGAGGGGGGCATACTTTGTAAGATTATACTCCCTTATTGTACATCCACTACTTAAAGAGGTTACTGTGCGTGCCCCATTCTTTTTAATTCAGAGACATTCTGCTTTCCCAAGCTGGCTGTCCACTTACCCTAGTTGTTTTCACTTTATTCCCAGAGGAGCAGCTCCATCCTTTCCGGTCTGGAAGAACTTTACATTCCTCTCCCTCTAGACATGGTTGCATATGACACCACCATTTCTGTTCCACTATTGAGGCTATGAAGAGAGAAAATACCACTCAGTATTTTTATTCGTAACCAGCAGTTCTCTGGGTGTATATTTTAAAAAGAACAAAAGACATCAATTTTTTTCTACCACTGGGAAGACTGTGTTTTGAGGCATATTTCTTTTTTTGTTCAGAGACCAAACCTTCCAAGGGTTTCTAAATAATATTTGTTTTCTTTTCAATTTTACTTTATTGTGATAAAAATGTTATGAGATCTACCCTCTTATCATATTTGAAAGTATACAATATAATAATATTACTAACAGATAAACTGTTGAGTTTTCTCATAAAAATATAGACTTCATGAAAATTAATATATTAAAAAGAAACTGTGACTGTGTACATATATAAATTTATATAAACATATAAGAAAATGAGCCTATGGGACCAGCAGTTGGCATAATGGCTTGTCACTGGACTTGCATGTAGACGACCGACCAAGGTTCAAATCCCAGACCCAGCGGCTTAAACTCATGCCAGGCACGTGTGTATGCATGCTCAGGATCCCGAGATAATGGAGGAGAAGGGATTGTGGCATGGCCATGCCCCCTGGGGAGTAATTTCTCGTTTTCTGTCTCTCTGTCTCTCTCTGTCTTTCTCGGGCAAGTGCACAGGCCCTATAGCAAAAACCTCTACAAAAAAAAAAAAAAAAGAAGAAGAAGAAAAGAAAGAAAAAAAATGAGCCTGTGATCAGTTTAGAGGCAACAGTTTAGAATCAATGTAATATTTCCTAGACTGAAAATTGGGAGACTGTTAGAGTTAACATAATTTTTCTTTTTTTTTTTTTATTATGAGCAGTAACTTCTTCACAGGGAATATACCATGCCAATATGAGCACTTAAAAAATTACTATTTATGGTAACAGCAATTAAATAGACCATATGTAGATTTATATTATATATAATTAGGTTACTTCTCAAAGAAATAAATTCTCATGCATCTTCATAAAAATTAGTATTTTATATTAATTCCATCCACAACTAAATGTTCACTCATATAAATGGTATTGATTTTTTCATTCTTCAGAACCATCCATAGATGAGACATTCTGCTTTCCCAAGCTGGCTGTCCACTTACCCTAGTTGTTTTCACTTTATTCCCAGAGGAGCAGCTCCATCCTTTCCGGTCTGGAAGAACTTTACATTCCTCTCCCTCTAGACATGGTTGCATATGACACCACCATTTCTGTTCCACTATTGAGGCTATGAAGAGAGAAAATACCACTCAGTATTTTTATTCGTAACCAGCAGTTCTCTGGGTGTATATTTTAAAAAGAACAAAAGACATCAATTTTTTTCTACCACTGGGAAGACTGTGTTTTGAGGCATATTTCTTTTTTTGTTCAGAGACCAAACCTTCCAAGGGTTTCTAAATAATATTTGTTTTCTTTTCAATTTTACTTTATTGTGATAAAAATGTTATGAGATCTACCCTCTTATCATATTTGAAAGTATACAATATAATAATATTACTAACAGATAAACTGTTGAGTTTTCTCATAAAAATATAGACTTCATGAAAATTAATATATTAAAAAGAAACTGTGACTGTGTACATATATAAATTTATATAAACATATAAGAAAATGAGCCTATGGGACCAGCAGTTGGCATAATGGCTTGTCACTGGACTTGCATGTAGACGACCGACCAAGGTTCAAATCCCAGACCCAGCGGCTTAAACTCATGCCAGGCACGTGTGTATGCATGCTCAGGATCCCGAGATAATGGAGGAGAAGGGATTGTGGCATGGCCATGCCCCCTGGGGAGTAATTTCTCGTTTTCTGTCTCTCTGTCTCTCTCTGTCTTTCTGGCAAGTGCACATGCCCTATAGCAAAAACCTCTACAAAAAAAAAAAAAAAAGAAGAAGAAGAAAAGAAAGAAAAAAAATGAGCCTGTGATCAGTTTAGAGGCAACAGTTTAGAATCAATGTAATATTTCCTAGACTGAAAATTGGGAGACTGTTAGAGTTAACATAATTTTTCTTTTTTTTTTTTTATTATGAGCAGTAACTTCTTCACAGGGAATATACCATGCCAATATGAGCACTTAAAAAATTACTATTTATGGTAACAGCAATTAAATAGACCATATGTAGATTTATATTATATATAATTAGGTTACTTCTCAAAGAAATAAATTCTCATGCATCTTCATAAAAATTAGTATTTTATATTAATTCCATCCACAACTAAATGTTCACTCATATAAATGGTATTGATTTTTTCATTCTTCAGAACCATCCATAGATTTAAGAACTTATTCTATTAAATCACCCATTTTCATTTTTCTTTTCCCAATTAATTTAGACATCCAGTCCCCCCAAACATCTTCCAGAAAATCGATATTTTATGGTATCAAAATAAGAAGCACATTCTCTTAGTAGAACCTCATTATAATGCCTTTGGTAACAGAAATGCATAAGATCTGAAATCTTTATCCAAAGGAGTTTAGATTTCAAAACGCCCCCAAATAAACTCATTTCAACCATATGACTTATGATGTGGTCTCCTGAAATTGGCCTCAGTTGATAGCATTATAGTGGGGTTCCAGTTCCAAACAGTCCCCAGCCATCACACCATTACAATGAGCAACAGAAGAGGGCACACCATCCACACAAGACGGAGCAGCTCGCGTGGTGCCTGCCACCTGCCCCGGGAAGCAGGAGCACTTGACCGTTTGTGACCGTTCTTCTATCTTGTTCTTATTACAGCATCTGTGGAGTGCCACCACCTCACAAGTTCCCGTTTTAACATGGTGAGCTGTGCAAACAGAAACAAAACAATATTGAGAAAGCTTTGGACACTTCTCCCCCTCTTTTTAATTAGAAGTACATTAAATATAGCTCTATAAGGGACCCACCATGCATGAAACTAGAAATACAATGATGCTAACTCCATAACGCAGATTTGATTTCTTTTCTAAATGTGGTAGGAACATTTCTGTCAGTAAATGCTTGGTGAAGCAGGAACAATTAGTGACTAGATTAGAATGAGCTGTTAAAACAGTCTGAAATACAGAGGCAATATAGGGCGCCATCAAAAATGTATTTATTTGCGTAGGACTCTTTTTACACCTTTTGATTCGGTGTGTTAATCAAAGCCAGGCAAACCCTGGACAAGGTGACCTGAGGCTAGCCTCATTTTCACTGTGGGTGGATGCTAACTAAGGTTATATTCTTCTGGGGAAGAGTGAGAGGACTAGGCTGCAATTCACCCTCAGGAACCAAGAGGCAGAGGGTGGACACCTATATCCGTGGTATATTTTTGCCCAGTTTCCCTAGAAAAAAATTTTTTGGGTGATTCTCAAAATTGCCACCATTTTCCTGTAGTTTCAGCCAATCGCAGGAGCCAGTATCATTTCGTTCCATTTTGCTTAAAGGGACAATTGTCCTTTAAGATGGTACCGTGAACTCTAATGGATTCCTATCTGGCAGGGGATGACCTGGAAACCCAGTCCAGTAAACTACCATACCCATTCTGTCAACTGCAAGATAAAGCTACTAGAGCTTTTTGGACATCGCTAATTCCATTATGATAAGGCTCTAGTTTGTCTTCATTGTCATTGTTTTTTCAACACTTTTTAAAATATAGTAACCCTAATGTGAAGTGATAAATGCTTCATCTACTAAAATTAATAATAACTTAAAACCAAACATTCATTGAAGATTACACTTTCAGAAATTTGTAAGTTGTGATTGATACAAAAACAGAAATATAAATAGAAAAGTAAGAGACCTGAAGTTGTTTAATGGTATAAATATATTGAGACTCATTGTCAGTAAGATCAGCACAACAGCCACTAATATTAATGCTCCCCTTGGAGATGAGAGGAACCAATGTACAGTAACTCAGGTTAGAAAACTTGTATAGATCTTTCGTTCTTCCCCTCTTCCTTACTCCCTCCCTCTATCTCTTCTTTTTTCTTCCTTCCTTCCTTCCTTCCTCCCTTCCTTCCTTCCTTCCTTTCTTTCTTCCATGAGTGAGAGAGAGAGAAACAAAGATTTAGATAAGGCATCTTTAACAGGGTCTTGATACCACAATGCAAACCCCAGCTTCAGCCAGGCCAGATCATGAGCATACACCAGGCATACTAGAGAGGTATTGATACTTGAACCATCATCCTTCTCATGTGGGTCCACATTAAAGAGAGTCGTGTTTCCTTGCAGTGCCATTGTTTGATTCCTGGTTCTAAATTTTCTAAGAGAGGGCCAATCACACATAATCTACCTTTTATCCTTCTCTATGAGATGAAGAACCTTAGACGGGCATACGGCTTTGGCATGTAATCCTCAAAACCTTTCAAGAGGCACATACCATTTCCAATGTCACAAAAAATTTTATGCAACTATAGCTATAAATGGGGATGCTCTCTGCATATGATTAAAATACAAATATATTTCAATGAAAGCTAAAAAGTTAAGCGTCAAACTTCTGTTCCTATACTTGTGCCATAGAAAATATTTTCCTAGCTAAGGATGAGTGTTTTAATTTGCTGAACGCTTTATATGACATTATACAAGTGAATGTAGTGCTTCCTGTGCTGTACTTTGCTTAGTCACATGAATGAGTAAATACCACACATCAGGCATGGTTCTGAGTACTGAGGATACAACAGTGAGTAAGAGAGACACATTATTCAGCAATAAAAAAAAGAACAAAATCCTTTTGTGACAATATAGACGAACCTGAAGGATATGATGGTAAGTGAAATTAGTCAGGCACAAAAAGACAGATCCCACAGGATCTCACTCGTGGAGTTTTGAGACATTGAGCTCATAGATGTAGAGAATGGAATAGATGTTACCAGAAGCTGAGGAAGGGAAAAAGAAGAAGGAAGGAGAAAGGGAGAGAGGATAAACGATGAGTTCAAAGTTATCCAGTTGGATAGGAGAATGACGTTTTGGTGTTGTAAGACATAGTAGGGTGACTCTAGTGAAAAATAATGTACTGTTCGTTTCAAAAAAGCTAGAAGAGAGAAACGTAAATGTTTTTAACATACACACAGAAAATGACAAATGTTTGAGGTGATATTCTAATCTATGATTTAATCATTATACAATGTACATATGTAATAGAGCATCACACTTTATAATATATCTATTATTTGCCTATTAAGAATAAAAGTAAAATTTTAAAAATATAGACACAATTTGTGCCTGCCTTCAAAGGGCTTATATTCCTGGAGAAAAATAATTATAGTAAGCACCTAAGTTAATGATTAAAATGATGTGTAGTTTTTGTGTTTTGTTTTGCTTGGTTTTGGTTTTGAGAGATTTTTTGCTATAGGGTACATGCGTTCGCCAGAAAGACAGAGAGAGACAGAGAGACAGAAAGCGAGAAATTATCCCCCAGGGAGGATGGCCATGCCGCAATCCCTTCTCCTCCATTCTCCTCTCGGGATCTTGGGCACGCATGCACAAGTGCCCGGCGTGAGTTTAAACCACTGGGTCTGGGACTCAAATCGCGGTCGGCTACACAGGAGTCCAGCGACATAGCCATTATGCTAATTACTGGTCCGAATGTGTAGTTCTTAATCCCCTTGAAGGAAATACAGTAGAGGAATATGACTGAGAGTAATTGAGCAGGGAGGGAATTTATATTTTGGGGAGAATCTCAGGAAGGGTCTCTCTGAGGAAGTAACCTAAATGATGAGCCTGATGTTAAGAAGGAAACACTCATTATGAAGAATGAAGAAAGGAAGTGTATTCCAAAGAAGGCACATAAAATCGCAAGATCCTAGAGTAAGGGAAAGTGAAAATTTGAAAGTATTGGGTCATAACTATAGGCAGATCATGTAAGTGGTGCTTTTATTTTCCTCGTAAGAGAAAGCCTTTGGATAGAAAAGGTATCACCTCATTTATTCTTTAGAAGTTTAGTCAGGCTGCTCTTCAGAGATTAGACTGAAGAAGATAATAGTGGAGACCAGTTATAAGGAGAGTAAAGGAGTCTCAGTGGTAAAAGATAGAACTTAGACCAGATCGACAGTCCAAGAGATGGAGAGAAGGAGCCAGTTAAGACTATTTCAATGAAGAGTTAGTTCGACATACAAATGGATTGAATGTAGACTGTGAGGGCAAGGGGACTTGAATTACTCCTAAACTTGAACTTAGCAATGAGAAGTTGATGATTTTGTGGTGGTGGTTGTTGAAATTTTTGTTATAGGACATGTGTACTCGTTAGAAATACAGAAAGACAGAAAATGAGAAATCATCCTGCAAGAGGGATGACCACAGTGCAATCCCTTCTCCTCCATTCTTCTCTTAGGATTTTGGGCACACACACACCCAGCATGAGTTTCAAGATTCTGGTTCTGTGACTCAAACAGTAGTCACCCATGTAGGAGTTCAGTGCCTTAACCACTAGTCCAGCAACCTAACCATTATGCCATCTGCTGGTCCCAAAATTGGTGATTTTAGTAGGTAAAGAAGGCTTGAGGAAAGGGTAGTCTGTCAAAAGATTGGCGGGGTTAGAATATACGTACTTCTGTTTGGGTCGTGTTAAGTTTGAGATCCTTATAAGACACCCAAGTAGAAATACAAATCGGGCAGCAACATTTATGAAATGGGTCTTACAGAAAAGATCTGGGCTGCAAATACAGACTTAAGAGACGAGGCCTATAGGCATATAAAGCCATGGGTCAAACAAGATTGCCATAAAAGTTTGCCACTAGGAAAGAGAAAAGGGAAAAGAACAGTCTAAAGAACTTGGAATGGGAGAGATAACAAGAAAACATAATAGCAACACATGAGCTTAAAGGAAAAGCAGCATGAAATGAAGAAATAAAAGGCCAAAGAACAAACATTTCAAAAAAGAGGAATTGCTCAGCTATGTCAAATGCATGGAAAATCCAATTAAAAGAACAGAAATAACCACCCGTTAAAGAAGTACCACAGTATAGTTTTTAAGAGCATATACTCCAAAGTCTGATTCAAATCTAAGCTCCTCTAAATAACTCTTTAACTTTGGGCACATTACCTAATATCTATAGACCCCAGGATTTTTTTCATGTCTAAAAGAGAGATACTAATAGCATCATTCTTGTAGGGTTGATTGAGGATTAAATTACTTACAATCTATAAAATATTTATAATACTGCCTGCCTAAGGTAGGCACTTTTATAATTGCTATTATCATTACCTTTTGATCTTGGTAAAACTCATGTTAATGGCATGATAAAGAAGGCAGCATTGAAACAAGTTTAGTAGATAATAGGAGACTCAGAGTGAGATGATTATAAAAATTTCTTTCAAGGAGTTTTTCTGTAAAGGGAGGAAGGAAATTAAACAATAGCAGGAAGGAAACACGGGGTCCAGAGAATTTTTTAATAGATGCTATAAAAGCATGCTTTTTTTCCTAGAATGACCTAGTAGAAAAAGAAATTGACAATACAGGTGAGAGGAGGAATAATCAGAAAATAATTTCCTTGGACCAGCTGGTGGCATGGTGATTAAGGCGAATGAAACCCACATGGTCAAGCTATATGGTTTAAATCTCAGACCTGGTATCTTGTAAAACATGCTGGGCACATATGAGTATATGCCCAAAATCCTGAAAAAAGGAAGAAATGGAAAAGGTGGAAGAGTAAGAATTGGAGCATGATCAAGCCCCATGGGAGTGCTCTGTCATTCTCTCTCTCTCTGTCTCTCTCTCTCTCTCTGTCTCTCTCTTTCTCTCTCGGTTGAGTGCACACACTCTCTGTCAAATAAAAAAGAAAAAAAGAAAAGAAAAGAATGTCCTTAAGAATGAAAAAGAAATTGAGA